GAAAGTGTGTCAAAGTTCAGCTCCATTACACAAGATGTTTTTAGCTTTTCTTTCTGCAGAGATGAAGAGTAAAGTACAGCTGCAGCAGCTCACTGGGTTAATTATTATTATTATAGTTTTTCTATCCAAGTTGGCAGATTTAGAGAGCACAGTCATATAAACTTCTGGAAGGCTATAAAATAAGACATTTAAGATTTAAAAATGATAATAAAATTGCATTTTGAATGGAAGTAAATACTACAGAACAATTGTTCTAGATTAGAAGGGAAAATAAGAGTAGAAGAAGGAAAAATGTAAAATAAAAATTTTCCCAAAAGTCTAGAACCTGGAAAACTTTATTCCATTTGCACCAGTTAAGCTGAAGTGCAAATATAAATATAATGAAAATCACCAGATAAAACTAAAACCTGTTAAATTTAAGCTGCATGATGTCTGAGTAAAAATACAGAAAATAAAACTTAACATTTGTTCTAATTTTCATTTCGGAAACAAACGGCAGATGATTTTCTGCATTATATTTTTATTTTCTCTTTCTTTACTTGCTGCTCGGTGTTTTCCCAGGCTGTCTCCTCTTCCTTCCTTCTGCACATGTAAACAAATCATCACTTCCTGCTGTAACCATCACGTCTTTGTGTGCGACTTGTTCATCCTCAGCTTTAAATACTTTATGCTGCTTTTGCACTGTACCATAAATATTTTTACAATCGTTACATTTTAAAGAACCATAATTTTATTTCTATTAAATGACCAGAACTGACATGCCTTATTGAAAACCTCTGAAAAGTAATCAACTCGCTGAGTGATTGTTTCCAGTTATTAGAGGCCGTTTCAGGCCTTTAGAGGAGACTGGATGGTTCCTGAAGGAGTTTGTTTCTGTCAGGATGAACGTTGGTGTGGCACACAGTGAGGTGAATCCAAACACCCGCGTGATGAACAGCCGGGCATCTGGCTGACCTATGCCTTAGGGGTCGGCGTTTTGCACATCGTGCTGCTCAGCATCCCCTTCTTCAGCGTCCCGGTGGTCTGGACGTCACCAACGTCATACACAACCTGGTGAGAGCGCCGAATCTTTAATCTTTAATGCAAATTGTTTACAATTTTCGTAGTTTTGCTTCATTCCTTTATTCTGACTGCGTTGTTCTTTCAGAAAATTATTTTTTTAGAGTATACTGATTAACAATTAATCAATTCCTAAAATAGCCGATACTCCAATAGCTGATTAATCAGATTAATAATTTCAGACCTAAACAGCAACATACTATTCACAATAAGTGAATCTGCTGTATAAATGGAAGGGATGTTGTATGAAAAGAGTAAAACTACAAATGCCAGCAGGCGCTAACTCAATTAGTTTGTGGTGGCAGTATGATGATCTGGGGTCAGATAATCATATGGCTTTGTTGATTTATGGATTCTGAAGGGGAATATAATTTTCATGTTGATTTAGCTGTTTTTGCTCCTGAATTAAAAATGTTTCTTCTTTGTTTTTTTTAATTCAGTTCAACTTTGATTCAAAAATGATCTGAAATGTTCAGCAGGAAAATGCTTCCTCTGCCAGTCCTCCTCATGTTTCGTGTTGCTGTGCAGGGCATGTACGTGTTCATGCATGCGGTGAAGGAACGCCCTTCGAGACGCCGACCAAGGAAAAGCCCGGCTTCTGACCCACTGGGAGCAGCTGGACTACGGCGTGCAGTTCACTTCCTCCAGAAAGTTCTTCACCATTTCCCCCATCATCCTGTGAGTACAGATGCAGCAGCGACTAGCAGCAGCGACTAGCAGCAGCGGCTAGCAGCGGCTGCTAGCAGCCAATGTGATGCTAGCAGCAGGTGTAATGGCGCTCAAATGTTTGTCTCGTCTTTTCCAGATATTTCCTGGCCAGTTTCTACACAAAATACGACACGACGCACTTCGTGATCAACACGGCGTCCCTGCTGAGCGTCCTGATCCCCAAGCTGCCTCAGCTGCACGGCGTCCGGATTTTAGGCATAAACAAGTATTAATAGCAGGAGAAGCCTGGCCTTCCTGTGTGTGTACTGCAGATTCATGTACTAAATCATCCAGTCAGTGTGTCGGGTTAGCGCTAACAGGAACCAGATCATCGGACATGATGTGCATCAGTAACTTATGTATTTAATTGTGTATTCGGGCCTGCATGGACCTGGGCTGGCCCAGGCCGCGGTCGGGTTCTAGGTTTCTTTAATTTGCTTTTCTCCGCCCCGTCGGTCACACGGTGTTGAGTGTTGAAGCCACTCAGATGCTCTGAAGTATTTCTTTTTGTTTACCTTTGGAGGCTGTCGCCCTCCAATTGTCGGTACCGTCTTGGTTTCATTTCATCGAGTAGCAGAACCGCTCTCCATCTGCATGGCTCCCCTAATTGGACCGAGCGGCTTGTCTCGTTTTACAGTGTTTGTGGACCTGTGTCCTGTGTGAAGGTATGATTGGTTAGCTGTTTACTGAGGAAGGTTTACTGTCTGTGGGAAACACTACGTTCACTCGGCTGCTCTCTGGAGAACCGGGCCGCCGGTTCTGATCGGTTCCTCCAGAGGACGTGATTTTTCCTGTTCCTAATCTTTATAAATGTCTGTGCCCTCAGCTCCTCGCCTCAGTTTGTGATCAACAACACCGTTTTAAGGTTTTCATTACATTTTGGACCAGAACCAGTTGATCAATAATTCTTTTACTTTTTTTTAAATGATCTTTTTGTCTTTTATTGAATGATCTTGTCTGGATATGACCCTTGACCCCGTCCCAGGTTGTTGGGCAGCAGCAGTTGCTGATCTAAGGACATTGCTGATGTGTTTCCACTCTGGTGTTTTTCTAAAGAGTCATTGGCAATAATGTGAATTTATCATCACAACCTGGCGGATTACTTTACTAGTCAAATCATTTAGAGGCAGTGCATTCTTGTTTTTTTAAGATGCTACATTTAAGATGATTTAGAACTTCATAAAGTCCAACCAAAATTATAGCAACTTTTAGCCATATTTGTGTTTGGTCTTTAAACTTGACTGTTGTAGCTTTTGATATGATGGATGCCTAAATATTCTGAAATCAAAATGGCGTCCAGGCTGGACCTAAACAGGATCAAAAGATTAAAACTTTATTAAAAATAAAAAAACATCTTGTAGAAAATAAAATCCCTTCTTCTAGTTTCAGCACTGAAACGTCCGCATGCTGTCGCTGTCATTCACGCCCCTCGTGGTCAGGTCCTCACACTGCGTCCTCAGTGTGCTAACCAAGAAGCGGTGGTTCAGGTGTTTTGCGCCCCCTGCTGGTCAGGTCCTCACACTGCGTCCTCAGGACCCCCCTGTACACCTGGAATCGGTGGTTCAGGTCTTTCTGCGTGTGGATCTTGAATCTCGTCCCCAGAGCTCCGTCAGCGGCGGCGGCGCCGTAGAAAACCCGGCCGATGCGCGAGTGCACCAGCGCCATGGCGCACATGACGCAAGGCTCCTGGTGACGTACAGGTCGTACCCGCTGCAGATGTACGGCACAGCGCCCCCCTCTGGTTGGGGGTCTGCAGGGGCGAAGCGGCAGGCGTCGTACCCGTCATGGCGGTAGCAGCCGCCTCCCTGGCTCCGCGCCACCAGATCGATGCAGACCATGACGGCGTGCTGCAGCGGTGCTCGCCTCGCCGGTCGTGACCAACGGCGACGACCCGCTGCGTCTCGGGGTCGACCACCGCCGCCCCCACCGCCTCCATCCCCAGCAGCGCCGCAGCTCTGGCGGCGGCCACGGCGGACGCCATGAAGGTGTGCATCAGGGCTCTCTGCTGGGGGCCGAACAGTTCCCCTCGCAACGCCACCGTCACCTGCTTGTCTTCATGGAAGGTCGTGGGCCAGCGGCGGCTCGCCAGCTCGAACTGCGGCCGTGTCAGCGGGGGTCGCGCCGGGACCTTCACCACAAACGGCTCGCCCAGCCCCTCCCAGCTGCCCGCGGCAGCAGAGACGGGATGCTGGCGTCCGCCGGGTTCGGCGCGTCGCTCAGCAGACACAGCAGAACCTCCAGAGGGTGGGGACTGTCCTCGGCCCGGCAGGCCGGACCCGCTTCACGTGCTGCAGGCCGGTCAGCGGTAGACGCCGTTCAGCTCCCTGACGAGCCGAGACGTCGCCTTCCTGTTGATGATGGGCGCGGCGAACGCGTCCACCAGCTCCACGTCCGCCGACTGCTCGTCTGACAGGACAGGGACGGCCACCCAGGCATCGCACTCTGACCCTTTGCGCCGCTTGGCCTCAGGCTCCATTGCTGCCCTGCCAGGACCCAGAGAGAACATGACGATCAGCAGCTCAACCAGAACCTCTGTTCACACCATCGGACCGACCTGGTCCACCAAGAGCCTCTCATTTCATCCGTAGAACCTGTGGAGTCTCCGGCTGTTTCCAGCCCAGCTTAGCCGCTTCAGTTGCTCAGTGGTGGTCATGTTTCAACCCTCCTTACCTGGAATGTGCCTCCAACATCTCAACATCTGGCTAATTGGCTGAAGGCCTCAGTGAGGCCTGGGATGAGGCCTTTATCAGAACCTGCCTGCTGGTGTTAGCGAGCTTTGCTGACATTCTGAAATCATTTGTTTGCTTTTTTCTGGGTGTTTCATAAATACTTTCTATGAATTACCTAGTAAAATTAATCTTCTCCCGCTCAGACAGGCACAGCTCACTTTGACAGCAGAAACAAAAATACATCATCAATGATTCTTATATATATTGCTTGGATTTTTATGTTTTACATTCAATCAAAGGGTTTGAACCAGCAACCAGGTCGATGGGAGGATCTCAACCTTCAGTCTCCACCTTCTTCATGGATAAGAATCATTTTATCTGATCGAGCTCAACATGATCCAGTCATAATGAATATCTCAATGTGCAGAGTTCAGAAAATAATTTATGTACTTTGGTTATTACAAAAAGAGATAAAAGGCCCAGCAAAATAAGACTTAAATCAGTTTTAAAGCTGTTGCATTTATCACAGCAAAGATATAACATTGAAATGTTGACATACTTTCAGATGATACAAATAATTTGCCCCATAAATTTATCAGCATGGTTATCAGCGATGAGCACGCTTCCACTGGGTTCTTTTTCAGTTAGCATGTTAGCTTTCTGCTTGCTTTGAAAACATTTAGTGCACTTAGCTTCCCCAAAATCAGTTTTCTGCATAAATTCTGAAGCACCAAGTGCAGGAAATTATATTTATCCTGTACCATGAATGCACCACTTTCTGATCACATTTAATTAGCCAAAATCAGCAACACAGTTAGCCATACTCAACTGCTATAAAACTGAGTTTTAGCTCCTGCTAAATACTGAGTCAGCATTGCCCTTTAGCATTAGCTTCCATCCAACACCATGTTGGTAGAACAGGTTGGTGTTGGTTTCTGCTCAGCACCAGGATGGTGTCGCTGTTTTGGCGTCACTAGTGTTTATGATTAGCGCTTTAGCTTAGAGGAACAAACGCTTCAGTTAGCGATGCCCATCACTGAGTTTTATTAATCTTTGAATAATTAATTTAAAAATAGGAATGTTGTTCCTGCAGTAGTAATAAAAATTCAGACCGAAGCATTCATCGTGAGTCTGTTTTATCGCCTTCATGCATCACAGACACATCCAGCTGTGGTTCTGATCCGGTCGGGTCATTTCCTCCCCAGAACCATCCTGGTCCTGATCACTTTGGGAACGTGTCTGATGGTGAGCGACACCCTGGTTTCCCTGCTCAGCGTCTCCCCGGGCCGCGCCCCGGCGGCGGACAGGTTGGCCACCCGGTCCGTCAGCGGGTCCCGGTCCCGGTTCTGGATGCCGTGCAGCAGCTGACGGTACATGTCGTCCTGCAGGACCAGCAGGCTGCGCGGCCTCAGCAGGAGGGACAGCAGGTAGCGGCTCTGCTGGGTCTGCGGGCCGTCCTGGCTGCAGACGGGCCGGTAGAAGTCCAGCAGGGTGTGCGAGCCCAGGCTGATGGTGCTGACCGTGGGGTGGTACAGCGGGCCGTCCTCGTGGGCCATGATGCCTTCGCCCGGCTTGTACTCGTTCACCAACACGTGGTTGGCCGTTTTCCCGCCGAACACTCCGAGAGACGAGACTTTCTCGCAGCAGCTCTGGAGCCAGTCGGGAAGCGACTCGGCCAGCATGCCTTTGGGGTGCGGCAGGCCGCCCCAGTTCTGGAGCCGGCGGCCCGACAGCTGGGTCCATTTGCTTTTGGGGGACTTGTACACCTGCTGCAGGAGGAAGGACTCCTCTTCCTCTGATATAAAATCTGGGATGTAAAATGCAGTTTGTGGAGCTTCATTGACAACGAACTGCTTCAAATCTTCCACAACACAAGATGGCCGCTCCATGTCTCCTTAAGAGAAGTTGACATGAAATCCTAATTAAAACATGTTCAGAACGAGTGGGACCAAAGCAAAGTAAAGCAAAGACGAGTCGGCCAAAGTGTTGGGGTGTAACATTCGTTCATTCACTCAAACCAAATCATGTCTCCATTATCCAACGTGTGCAGGTTGGATTGTCTCCCTTTTTCTCTTGACAAGTGACCAAAACAACTGATGACATCATTATGGACATGAGCTGGACAGAGGGGTCCAAATGTACTGAATACCACAGTACTGACCTTCATGCCCTGTGCAATAACTTTAATGACCCTATGAGTGATTTTAATGACCTTTTCAATGACCCTGTTGGTGACCTTCTGTAGGGAAAGCAGGAATGGTGAAGCATGATGGGTACTGAACCCTCTAATCGGTGCCACATAGCTCAGTGGATATGAGGCCCTGGTGACCTTAGCCCCCTACTGGTGACCTTAGTGGCCCTGCTGGTGATCTTAGTGGCCCTGCTGGTGACCTTAGTGGCCCTGGTGACCTTATTGGCCCTGCTGGTGACCTTAGTGGCCCTGCTGGTGACCTTAGTGGCCCTGCTGGTGACCTTAGTGGCCCTGCTGGTGACCTTAGTGGCCCTGCTGGTGACCTTAGCAGCCCTCATGACCTTAGAGGCCCTGCTGGTGACCTTAGCGGCCCTCATGACCTTAGAGGCCCTGCTGGCGACCTTAGCGGCCCTGTTGGCGACCTTAGCGGCCCTGCTGGTGACCTTAGAGGCCTTGGTGACCTTAAAGGCCCTGCTGGTGACCTTAGTGGCCCTGCTGGTGACCTTAGTGGCCCTGCTGGTGACCTTAGCGGCCCTCATGACCTTAGAGGCCCTGCTGGCGACCTTAGCGGCCCTGCTGGTGACCTTAGTGGCCCTGCTGGTGACCTTAGAGGCCCTGGTGACCTTAGAGGCCCTGCTGGTGACCTTAGCGGCCCTGGTGACCTTAGAGGCCCTGCTGGTGACCTTAGCGGGCCTGCTGGTGACCTTAGCGGCCCTGGTGACATTAGAGGCCCTGCTGGTGACCTTAGTGGCCCTGCTGGTGACCTTAGTGGCCCTGCTGGTGACCTTAGCGGCCCTCATGACCTTAGAGGCCCTGCTGGTGACCTTAGCGGCCCTGCTGGTGACCTTAGCGGCCCTGCTGGTGACCTTAGAGGCCCTGGTGACCTTAGAGGCCCTGCTGGTGACCTTAGCGGCCCTGCTGGTGACCTTAGCGGCCCTGCTGGTGACCTTAGCGGCCCTGGTGACCTTAGAGGCCCTGCTGGTGACCTTAGCGGCCCTGCTGGTGACCTTAGAGGCCCTGCAGGTGACCTTAGAGGCCCTGCTGGTGACCCTAGCTTCACCTCCTCATAACTCTGTTCAGGACTGAAGACACCATGTTGATGAGACATTAGACTTCAGGAGACAACAGAAGTTTTATTCTTCAGAAGCATTTTAGATTGTTAGGTTGGGAATGACAGCGTTTGAACCAACATATCAGAAGGTCTTTTATATGAAGTTTAATCTTTGACCCTTCCTATCACTTCTCCGAATTGCAGTAGAAATACAGACATTTGTAGCTAGTTAACGCCCACATTGGTCACTTTGACATTTTTGAAATCATGCTTTAGGAAACTTTTACGTCACTGAGTGACTTGATTTTACATTTCACACTAAAGGGTTTGAATTCAAGTTTAGTAAATATAATCCCGATATAAATCCTCAGAAACATTTTAAACGACTTTTATAAATGTAACACGTTCCCCGAACAGAAACAAATCGTTTTTAACCGGTAGTGTTCTTAATACAACATCTACCTCCACGTTAGATCAATATTTATACATTAAAAGCCACGAATAAAGAGAAAAGTTGGACTAACCTCCACAGTTCTCGATAAAAATACAGTTTATATCCAAAGAGCCGAACTGCTGCGCTGCATCTGTGTGTCACCTCATAAAGTGTCCGGCGGGAAACTGGCGGATGCATTTCCGACATCCGCGTTGTCTCGCGTTGTTTCCGTGGTTTGATGGCGAAGGATTCTGAAGTTTTCCAGCTCACAGAGGGAGCATGGCGTCTCCTTCCATGTTCCAGACGAAGGTTAGAATCCTGCTGAGGTTGCTGCGGTGCAAACACGCGGCAGGAAGCAAGGCTTTCCGCTCCAGGCTGGTTTTAGGCATCGAGACGAGCTGCGATGAGACCGGAGCTGCTGTGATGGACGAAACTGGAGCCATACTGGGAGAATCCCTGCATTCCCAGAAGGAGGTTCATCTGAGGTCAGGGTCACACAGCAAGTTCTGATGCAACGTTCACTTCCTGCATGTCTAAATTATTGTGGTGTAAAAGTTATGCATATTGTCAGACTGGTGACCTGCAGGTCACAGGTTTGTGTGACGTCAGCGAGTCTCAAAATTTACACGAGAGTCTGCAGAATATCCAGTCACAAACTGACCATTCTGGCCATTTCTACTTATTCACGTTGCTGGAATATTCAACTCGATATAAAATGTTTATATATTCATACTTAGTTTTTCTCACCTGGTCTGATTGGCTGAGATATAAACTTTTCTAAACAATATGAATAATAAATAATGCTCTGATTGAGAGGATCAATACATTGAATCGAAATGACTTTCTGGGTGTAAAGTGAGATGATATTGGTTAGTAGTGGGTGCTTTAGAAATAAACTGATTAAATCTACAACAAAGTTATTGAAAAAGAAAAGAATCCATGTGTTGCAGTGGCCTAGTCAAAGTGCAGCTCTGAGCAAAGACAGTTTGGTTCCTCCCTGCAGGACTGGCGGCATCATCCCGACCGTAGCTCAGGCTCTGCACAGAGGAAACATCGAGCGCGTGGTGCAGGAGGCTCTGGACCGGAGCGGCGTGGCGCCGGCCCAGCTGGCCGCCGTGGCCGCCACCGTGAAGCCCGGCCTGGCTCTGAGTCTGGCCGAGGGCTTGAGCTTCAGCCAGCGCTTCGTGAGGCGTCACAACAAGCCGTTCATCCCCGTCCACCACATGGAGGCCCACGCCCTGACCGTCAGAATGCTGCAGCCGCTCCACTTCCCCTTCCTGGTGCTGCTGGTGTCCGGAGGCCACGCCCTGCTGGCCGTGGCGCGGGGCGTCGACGACTTCCTGCTGCTGGGCCGAACGCTGGACGAAGCTCCAGGAGACACGCTGGACAAGGTGCAGATGGCAAAACCCTCCAAAAAATAAAAAAAAAGGAAATTTCAGAGCCAGATAGAAAAATTACAAAAAAATTTGATAGACAATCATAAATGTTGAGATTATCAGAATGTTTGTTTGTAGTGTTTGTTTTATGGATTCACTGATGGAGGAAATGAGCTTTTATCTAAATCCACTGAACGTTCATCAACATGCACTGGGCAGATTAGGTGTCGTGGTTCTGTTGTTGTGGTTCTGAACCGACCGGCAGCTGTTTGGCCCCCCAGGTGGCGCGGCGTCTGTCCCTCAGGAAACTGCCGCGCTGCGCCGCGCTGAGCGGCGGCCAGGCCATCGAGCTGCTGGCGCAGGACGGCGACAGGAAGCGGTTCCACTTCAGGACGCCGATGGGACAAACGCCCGACTGCTGCTTCTCCTTCGCCGGGCTGCGGAACCAGGTCACCTTGCTGATCCAGAGGCAGGAAGTCGAGGAAGGTAGGACGGTTTCTGGACTTCCTGTGCTGCGTTAGCCTTCCTGACCTCAGCCACTGGTTTCCAGGCGTAGAGGAAGGAACGGTGCTGTCATGTGTGAACGACATCGCCGCCGCCACGCAGCACACCGTGGCCTCACACCTGGCAAAGAGGACGTACCGGGCCGTCCTGTTCTGCAGAGCCAACCGTCTGCTGCCGTCACAAAACCCGACGCTGGTGAGAAACCATCCACTGGATCCGATCCGATTGCTTCTATTTCCTCATGTTCAGTTCAGTTAACCGCCAACCAGAGCATCAGGTCATCAGTTTAAAACGTTTCTGAGGAAACCAGCTGGGCATCGAGTCGTTGACATGCAGCAATCACTCCTCCTGACCAGCAGGGGGCGAAAGCAGAGAGAGAAACTCCCCTTTAACAGGAAGAAACCTCCAGCAGAACCAGAACTGGCTCACTCCAGCAGCCATCAATACCTGTTTCCATTCACCGTAAAATTATGCAGAATTAAAAAAATTAATTAACTTAATTGAAACAAGATCATTTCAGAAAAACTTGTTTTTCAGCAGATGATGTACCAAAATTCACAAAAATACCATAAAAACATTTTTCACATCACACAAGTCACATGATCAACAACAGGATGTTACTGCTGGCAGAAGCGACAAAGAAGATGACAGGAAGTGGTATAAGGAAGAGGATTTCAATGATTCATTGTGTGAACAAACTTCTGACTGCAGTTATGTAGAAATTCTCTGCAGGCAATATTTTATCTGCTGGACAAGAAAACTATAACTTCAGTTATTTAAAATTTTGAAAAGAAAGCTGCAGTGTTTCCATAGCAACCCAGAGTGTTTTCCAGGTGTTGTCTGGAGGCGTTGCCAGCAACCAGTACATCCGTAAAGCTCTGGCGGTGGTCGCCGAGGCGACCGGGTTGCAGCTGCTCTGCCCTCCGGCCCGGTTCTGCACCGACAACGGAGTGATGGTCGCCTGGTGAGTTCTGGTGACCCGGCTTGGGTTGGAAACGGGTCCGGTCCACCTGAGACGTTTGGTTTCCTCCCTGCAGGAACGGAGTGGAGCGTCTGAGGGAAGGAACCGGGATCCTGGCGCCGGAGGTGGAGGTCAACTACGAGCCCAGGTCAGTTCTTAACGGGTCAGAACCGGTTCATGTTCTGCTCAGGCCTTCATTTCCTCTCATTCACATTTTAAAGAAAAAGCTGTTTACGGTAGATTTTTGGATCCTACAATAACCAGTACATTCTACTGGACTGACCCGGTTCCAAACCCTCAGACTGACATGAGCTGCAGGTTCTGACCCGTTCTGCTGGTTCTGCCGCAGAGCTCCGCTGGGCGTAGACATCACAGCCGAGGTGAGGGCCGCCGCCATCAGGCCGCCATCCATCCGGATCAAGATCCCAGACTGACCGGCAGAACTTCCTCTGTCCAAACTGCAGATTTTCGATGTTTATTTATTAATAAAGTATTTTAATATGAAGTTTTATGACTCATTTAGTGGAATCTGATCAGAAAGGAATAACCATGATGTGTGAAGCTTCAGGATCAACAACATTTAATGTGTTAATAAAACAACCTGTTTGTAACATTACATAATCAAAATTAACAGTAATTATTTGGGTTATTTTAATAAAAAAGCTAAGTTTTTCAGTCACATTTTCACTGTTATCAATTTATAAACGTCACAGATTTAAACTAGAAATTTTGCTTGATAACTGAATAAATTTAATAAAGCTAAACATTTCAAGCGAGTATTCAGTTTCACTTGTTAACCGGAAGTGGAGTGCCAAAATAAAAGCTGGGTCTGAACTACCGGCGCGACTGTTGCATCTTAATTTCTTCTCAGCGTCTGAATATTTCAGTTGGACTTGGCAGCAACTCAGCAGGAGTTCATATACAAGTTTGCAAGATCCAGCTTTTATTTTGATAGTGAACTTCCGGTTATCAGCTGAGTATCATAAGCAAAATATTCTGTAAATTTCTCAATTTAACAATTCCCCCATTCTGCTACTAATCTTAACTAGTTTTTGTAGAGTTTGATTATTTCTGGTTTAATCATAAAAAAGGCAGATATTGGTGTGAATTTTATTTTTATCAAAATAAACATGTATAATTTGTTCCACGTTTATGTTCCATAGAGCCAGCCTCAGAAGTGGTTTCAAATAAAAAGTTCTTCCTGTGCCCCCTGGTGGTTGGTCCGGGTGCTACAGCAGGCTTACGTTGGTTCCTGTTCTAGAACCGTTAATCTAAAGACAGATTCTGGACGTGATCCAAACCCATAATCACAGTACTTGTGTGCCACTAAATAAACTTTAAAAACGCCAGAAGAAGAAGTGTGGATGTAATCTGGAGCAGAAGTGGTTTAACTCATGAAGGGGCCAACTGATCCGGTTTCACTTCTTCTTGTTTCTTCTCCTCTAAAGGAATCACAGACGGCGGCTAAAGCTCATCCCGTTCATATACATTATACTCCTTGGCGCTGATCTGCCCGTCTTGGTCCTTGTCGCTCTTCCAGAAGATGTCGGCCAGGATTTTCTCGTAGAACGGCTCGTCCCGCGGCTTCCCGCCCTTTTCGTATTCCAGCTTAAGATATTCCTTCACCTGGACACAAAGGAGCACAGCTTCAGGAAGCTAACGAACAGCAAACACGTCAACACCAAACTGCAAAACATGAACGCACTAATTTATCAGAAAGCGAGAAATCACTGGAAGTGTTGAGCAACAGGTGTGGGAGGGGCAGAACCACTGCTCAGCGCTGCTCCTGAAATAAACGCAGGCCTTTCCTCATTAAGAGGATTTTAGCTGAGGTCAACATGAAAGAAGCACAGCAGCAAACTTAGCAACATTGTTGTGCTCTTTAGCAACTTTTCTAACAACTAACAACTTTTTTTCTGTCAAAGTGATCGAAACTGTTTGTTTTTCAAAAATGGGACATTTTCCCAGAAAAGCAACTAGCAACAAATCTTTTGATAAATCTGTCCACATTCATAACAGATCAACTGCAGATAAATCCAGTACCACCTTCAGCCCAAAGAGGGCAGCACTGAGACGGCCGTAGGACAAATACTACAGAATAAAATTTACAGGAAAATGTCAGTTAACATTGAAACAAAGTTAGAACCCAATTAACCAATTCAGACAGTTTATGTAGAAAATAAGTAGATTTGGGGTTTAGTTGCTCTTTCGAAGCGTTTGGAGAAGGAACAGTTAGAAAATGGGGGAAGGCTCTGCGTTACCTCCGCCTTGGTGAGGCTCTTGTCCTTGTCCAGATCCATCTGTCCAAAGGCCTCCATGCTGCGGGGGCC